GAGCGGAGAGGGAGGGACCGGCGAGGGGGAGGAGGCGACAGGAGGCGCCTCCGCTTAAGGGAGCCGGCCGGGCGCCGCCGCTCGGACGGACGCGCGAACGGAAGGAAGGAGCGGGGCCGTCGGCCGCCGGCCCGGGGATGCGAGCGGCCGCAGGGTGGGTGCGGAGCCCGGGCGGGGAGGCTTTGAGCTGCGGCGGGGAGGCTCCGGGTCCGAGTAGCCGCCACCGGCTCCCGCCGCGGTGCGGGCCGGCGAAAGCGAAAGCGAGTCGCGGACTTTGCGCCGGCTGCGAGGGGGGCTGGGCGGGCCGGGGGCTGTCAGCGCCCCATCCGCCGCGGTCCGCGCGCCGCCGGAACCCCGCGGCGCCTCCTTAAAAGCGGCCCCCGCGCCACTCTTTTTTTCCCCCTTTTTGTTACATTGTAGGAACGGAAAGAATGTCGGAGCTGGCCGCGGATGACGTCAGGGGGGAGTCGCGCCGCGCGGCGGGCGGAGTAGCGGCCGCCGGGCAGCACCAGCTTCAGCCTCCGCAGCCCCAGCAGGCGGCGCCCACGGCCAGAGGACGGCGGCCCCGGGGCTGCCTCTAGCTCGGCCGCCGCCATGGCGACGCTGTGGGAGCGCAGGCCCCTGCCCAGCCCCGAAGCGATGCTGGGACAGCCGTGGAATCTGTGGGTCGAAGCTTCCAAACTTCCAGGGAAGGACGGTGAGTGTCCACATGCCTTCGGCCTCCCCGCGCCCCCGCCTTCCCTCTCCCGGGCTTCCCGGCCCTGCGCCCTGCCCTGTGACCCGCCCCCTCGGGGGTCGGAGATGCTATATATAGTTCACTGGGTTGTGGAACGCGGAGGTGCCCACACCTACCCTGTGCGTGCGTGAGCGTACGTCACACTCCTGGCCACTGACCTGCCTCTCCTCCTCCTGTGTGTGTATCTCCTAGGGACCGAATTGGACGAAAGTTTGAAGGAGTTTGGGAAAAACCGCGAAGTCATGGGGCTCTGTCGGGAAGGTGAGTCCAGCCCCCATGGTGGAGTTTGTGCTAACCCTAGAGAAGTTTTCTTGTTGCTTCAGCCCACCTTCCCTGCTTCCCACTTGGAGGAAGATGCTGAAGAGGAGGGACTCGGGTGGGCAGAGCATTTGGAGAATCTGGCTGCAGGGGGCTTCCTGCAGTGGGCAGCGACCTAGAAACCCCCCCCCCTCCCGGAAGCTTCACAAGGTGCAACCTCAGCAGCAGTTGGAAGTGATGAGCATAGGAAACCGGCTGGGAGTTTAACCTAGATCCTTCCTATCTGACCCCCTTATGGAAAGCACCAGTGGAGGGAAGAACTCTCAGCTTTGAAATGTTTGAGGGTGATATGGAGAGGAAATCTTGACATCCTGGATTTTCTTAAGGCAATAAGAATGAATTTTGAACCTTAAAAGTAAAGTATCTTATCTTTGTAACCTTGTTCGCATAGGACCTAAAGTACAAGTTTAGGATGCTACCAGAAGTCAACCAAGGAGTGCAGTTGGTCAGATTTGTGTGTGTTTGCACTGCCAAATGAGGGAACAGAAATCCAGAATTTTTCTGCTTGTAGAGTAAAATCAGAGGCTAATTAGTGGTTAGTTTTCAACTTTCGTGAAAGACTACTTTAGGTAGGGAAAGATATGCTCCCTGGGAGTCAGGGAAGGTGTCTGGAAACTTGCATTTGCCCTTGGGATTACCTTTTTTGGGGGAACTGTCATCTTTTGATACCTAATGCTTACCTGGACACTCTAATGGGAAAGGTCATGGCCTTGAGTCAAGTTTGGGATCTAAAAACTGAGTTTACGTTTCTCAGAACAGTTTGATTTCTCACCTGCAGCCATTTGTTTTGGCAGTGTTTTTATTCAGGACCCAAGAAGTCGACTTTGGGCAGCTGGATTTCTCAGTCCAGAACTGGCATACTGTTACTGCCTCAGGTTTACTCCGTGTTTTTAGCACCTGCTTTGCTTCCTTTTGCCACACGGCCAGTTGGCGCTGCCAAGAAGAGTTAACGCTGGTGGCAGCCCTCTGGGAGCTTCCATTGGAACAGATTATAGGGTAAATTAGTTGATTTTCAAAATAAGAATTGCTGTTTGAGGGCAAAGGAAAGAGGGAAAGCACAGGACTTGGTGGCGGTGTTGCAATAGGAAAAATCAGTTGTTAGTCCGGTTTTAGTGTTGACTTGGCAGATTGCCTGGACTTGAAAAATTAAAATCACTAGGTGGCAACCCTCATAGGAAGTGGTGGAGTGGAGTGCTAGCGGACCTAATCCACTCTTGTTCTTAGTTTTCATTCTTGGGTGTGGATGTATTTCCCATTAAGGGCTTCTATGTCTCTGTCAGTACAGAATGCTAATTATTGGCAGTTTCCCTATAGAGAATGAGTGTGTTTCACTGAATGCCTTGGTTTGGATTGGGACCCATCCAAATTTAGTGGCTGAACCTATTTTTGCTTTATTTAATATTTTCTAATTGGAACATGTTAATCAACAGATTTTCCACAAAGCTCTAAGACCTTGTAACTACTTAAGCCACCAGAAGGTCATGGATCTGGCAGCACGTACCTCTGAACTGTCAACTATTAGTGTTTGCTAAAGATGGCTTTTTTAAAAGTCGCTGTCACCATTTAGAGGATGCGGTAACTGACTTATGCTTGCCTGCTTTGAGTAGAGAATGAAGCTTAAAATTCAGTAAGTCCTTCATTTGTGACTTTGGTATAGTTGAAAAATCCAAACTTGGTGAAAAATTGAGGCTAGCTTGGACTACATATTGAGACCTTGTGTTTAAAAAGAGGGCTGGGTTAATAGTTTAGTGGATAAAGTGCATGCATGGGTACCTGAGTTTGACCCCTGGAATCCACATTTTAAAAAACAAAAAAGCATGTGCATCTTGGTGCATGATTGTAATCCCACTGCTGGGGAGGTAGAGGGAGGCGTGTCCTGGGCTCCCTGGCCAGCCTAACCTACTTGGTTGCTCCACAGCAATGAGAGACCCTGTTTCACAAAACAAGGTGGAAGGCTTCTGGGGAACTGACACTGCGAGTGACCTCTGGCCTCCACATACATGCACCCACACAAACCTGCACACAGACATGCACAAAATCAAGCTAAGGAAAGAGGAAGTGGACCTGTATTTTCTCTTAACAAACCTTGAATATTGTCAGCACTTACTGGACCATTATGCATTGCCTTTAAGATGGAATTTCACCTATCCTAATTCCTCTTATTAATGAAATTAAGTTGAAAAATACAGATAAAGGGATCATGTGAATGAAATACTGAGAGTGAGAAACAGTCCATTACGGCAGAGCTTTAGGAATATATACCTGACTCCTTCTACTCCTCAGTTTGTGATTATGAACCAAAGGGTTAGAAAACATGGGTGTGAGAGAAAGTTACCTTACCTTTGCATGAGTTCTTTCATCTCTCTGAAAATAACTTCCTATTTGGGAGATGATAATACATATTTCCCAAGGTGATTGTGGGGGGTAAAAATAAATTTGATAACATAAAATGACAGTTGCACACTGGCTCCTTTTCAACTCCTGATAAGGTTAGAACTGAGTTTGAAATCTGCTCTGTACATAGGCCTGGGCATTTTAAAAAGCCTAGGACTCTTGAATAGGCTTCCTAAACTGTATGCAGAATAATGTGTAATTCTACCCTCTAGAGCAGTGACCACAGCTACTTTTCCAGGATTCTTAGGGCTAGAGTTCAAAGCTACAGACTTAGGCACTCTATATTCTTTCTTTCTTCTTGTGATTTATTTTGGCCAGTTCGTTCATGGCAGTAACTGCCAGTAAATGAATGCTGTGGAAGAACCCTGAAACTACTGAGTTAGGTGTCAGTGGCGCTATTCCTGAATTAGCTAATGTATCATTCCTTAGCTTCCATTTAGCACGGCCAATGTTAGGATAAAAATG